ATTTTGGAGGTAACTTGTTTAGTTTTATAAGCCATTCAGACATAAATCTTGACATTTGGAACTGCTTTGTCACCTGTGTTTTAGTTACACAGTGGTATAACCCAGGATTAATCCAGAAAATTCTTTCCTTTATCCTTCCCTAGGGCTAAAGCTGAGTTTTGTCTTCTCTTCCTTGAGTAGAAAAAATGCTTACTTTTTTCACTAGGTTTGCTTTTGAGGCCCTTTGCTATTTACTTTTAGTTGGTGATTGAACTCTGTGTCCAAAGTCCTCCAGGGAGTTGGCCTTTGCCAAGTAGTCCTTCTCGCATACACAGACCCCGAAGTACTCAGGTGCTCCTCAGGTCTCAGAGTTCTTGGATGATGGTACTTATGAGCTCTCTCTGTCATGTTGCTTACTCTATGAACCTTAGGAGATTACTCTTCCTTTTTTTTTTTTTTTTTGTTAGTTAGATGTAAAGGAGTGTTTTACCTGAGAGCTAATTTAAGGTTATTTTTCAAACTACAAATTGGAGCACGTTTGTGGGTTATTAAGTAACTGGTTACAACTGGAATTTTTAAAATAACATAAAATAGAAAATAATTTGAGAAAAAACAAATGTTATATGATTCTACTTATATGCTATCCCAAGAGTAGTCAAATTCTTGGGGAGTATAGTGGTGGCTGCTAGGGTCTGTGGGGAGTGAGAGTTTAATGGACATGGAGTTCCATCTTGGAAAAATTTTAAAGTTCTAGAGAGGGATGGAGGTGAGAGGTGCACAACAATGCAAATGTACTTTATGTCACTGAAGTGTACACTTTAAAATGGTTAAATTGATAAATGTTATGTATTATATATATTAATATATTATCTCAATAGAAAATAGTGTGTGTTGTATTTTCAGAAAAACCTTTTTCCCCATTTTATGTGTGTATACTGGATTACAATAAAAGTGTGCTTGTTATTTAGAGTTAAGGTTAAGACATTTAGAAAACAACCACTGTAAGGAGTGGAAGGATCACAGTGCAGCAGGCACACACGTCCTCCCGCGTCCTCTCTCAGCCATTCAGCACTCTCCTTGGATGGACAGAGCAGTGTTCATGCAGTGGGTAGAGGAGAATTTATGTGAACCAATGTTGAGAGGCAGTGCCCTATTGAGATGAATGCCAATATGCTGTTGTGAGATCCCTCTTAGAAAGCTAAAGAGAATCACTTAACATTAACCTATGTAGCCAGTGTGGTACCTTGTCTTGCCAACAAGAAAAAGAGGGGTGGATTTTTTCCATCTTTTTTTAATCAAATAGTGGACATCATGCTAAGTAGTTTATATGCAGTAGCTCATGTAATAATACTTGAAAAAGGGAGGTCTAATTACTGTACTCATTTTGTAAATGAAAAATACTGAAATTTATTCAGGTGAAATAACTTGCCCAGTACTACAATATAAATGCAGTGCATACATTTTATTCTAGGTTCTCCTATCCTGGTCATTCTCTGCTTAATATCTATGCTATATTATACTATATTATAAAATCTTTATTACCATAAAGGGATCCATAAAGAAGTTCAGGGTGTCATTACCTGCTGTGCTGTAGGGGTTTACCCCAGAGTGACATTCAGGGCTGGATCTTTAGGAATTGTGCCTAGGTCCCCACAGTGCCATTAAGATAGGATCAGTCTACATCTAGATGTACTGGACACTCCTTGTTTAAAGAATTGATCCCCTCTGTAGGTCACTCAGGACAGTTGGTAAGTAATTCTTTGGCTAAAACGAAGGAATAAATAAAACACCTGCCATCCTTCGCACTGTCTAGAATATTTCCACTCTTCTAAAAATAGCACTTAAATAGCCCTCTGAACTTAAAGCTCTTTGAATAAACTACTGAATGGTGAATTGTGTTTATTACTGTTTGAGAGGTCTTGCTTTCAGGAGCTATTTTCCAGCATGTTAAAAGTGAAGAGCACCAGGTAATTCTGTGAGCATTGTCATTGGCCATGAATTTGACCTATTTTAAAAGTCTTTTGGGAAAAGGAGAAGTGTTGAAATATAACTATAATAAGTTGTGAGTTTTTTTTACTTCTCTCTTTCTGCCTATTATGCATGTGATGTTTTACCTTTTGAGATCTGAATCAGATTAAAGTCCACTATTGTACCTAATTAGGAGAATTATACAAATGTAGCTACTGCAAGTCTCTAGCAGGGTCATCACTCATATTTAGGACTATTGAGTCCTATTGTACTTAGACCTCTTTAATCCTTAGGTAAAAGGTAAACACATACATGCTACTTTTATAGTATATAATGGCGATTTAAGTTAAGAATATCAAAAACTATAAATGCGCTAATGAAAAAATAATGTATATTTAAATTACGTATACTATATTTTGTGTTTAAGAAATGTATGATTTTGTTGACTCCAATTTTTAAATAAAAGTCTTAATTTTTGAATATACATTAACCTAGTAACCGTTTTAGTCAGGATTCCAAGATTGAAGGAGTATCGCTGACTAGAGTAGTGCTACTGGCACTAATGCTTACTGGAGTATGATTTTATGATTCAGGAGTTACTGTATATACCTAAAAATACATCTGGCCATTGCTTTGTGCACTTAATTTAGGAAAAGTGAAGGATTTATCAATTTGTTACAAGTAAAGATTATATTAGATAGTCCTGATGTTTTAGCAACCTTTTGCAATATGTTATAATATTTGCCACTCTCGGGAGTTAGAAAATACATCTTGGAAAATCTTAGCGTGTCAAAAATTATAATTGGCCAGAAAAATGCTTCAGATAAACACCTCAAACTGTGCACCCATTTTTAAAAACTGGCCCCATAGAACTCTTGCCTGTATTTTTTATAATATTTTGACTAACATTTTACCCTATTTCTAAAAACTTATATGAGTAGTATAAGGGAAAGAGTTCTAATTAGTTGTTCACATATACAACTAATATGTTTTCCTGTTTCAGAATAAATACAAGTTTTAATTTATCTTGACAATGAAATCTTTTGTTAACTCTACAGATAAATTCCTAGAAAGTTACTTGGATTACATTCCTCAATTATAGATGTTTTAAGAATATACTTAGCTGCATTTTTTGCATAGTCAATAACCTAGTGCCCCAGAGTCTGTTTTCTTTGTATGCAATGGAGATTTACTAGCATTGCAGTAAATGCTTACACCACATAACTGTAAACTCTTTGAGGTTAAACAATGCAGTAAACATGTTGGAATGCTCCTAGCTTTCATTTTCACCAGCCTGTTCACAACCTCTTCCAAAATCCAATGGAAGAGCCACACCTCTGAAAATACCATGATTCCCCCATGCCATTAAGCTCCTCTTGTGTTTCCACTCTAGCAGCACTTCCCACTTCCCTATTCCTGGTTGGTGGATCTGTTTGATCATTTTTGTAAATGTCTATGTATTGAGTATCACCAGCTAGACTGTGAGCTCTTTGAAAATCAAGGATTTGTTTCTTTAGTGTTTCCTGTCATAGTTCTCCCTAGAATACTATAAATCACAGTGCTTGTCCTTGGGCTCCTCATGAATTTGGGAGCCAGGCTGCAATAGCTACAGAGCATATTTCAGGTTGAAAAGAAGAGAGTGGAGGACAGTGAGTAGTGGGAAAAGGGCAACATCGATTCAGTGATCCACAATTAACAGGACACACCTTGTTCTCCCCCAACAATCCCAAATTCCCAGGTCTTATGCTCCTACTAGCATTAATGCAATCTAGGCAGCATGCTTCCTGTGCACTGGAACAGCCACCATGTGCAGACATCTTCCCTTCTATGGATGCCTTCACTATTCATTTTAATTAGATTTAACTTGTATAGGCTGGGCATGGTGGCTCACACCTGAAACCCTAGCACTTTGGGGGACCAAGGCTGATGGATCACTTGAGGTCAGGAGTTCAAGTCCAGCCTGATCAACATGGTGAAACCCCATCTCTACTAAAAATACAAAAGTTAGTCAGACATGGTGGCAGGCGCTTACAATCCCAGCTACTTGGGAGGCTGAGGTAGAAGAATCACTTGAACCTGGGAGGCAGAGTCTGTAGAGAGCCGGGATTATGCCACTGTACTCCAGCCTGGCCTGGACAACAAAGCAATAGTCCATCTCAACAATAACAAAAAAAGATTTAACTTGTATAAAATAGTGTTAAGAGGATGGGCAAGTGAAGAGAGAACCCATGCATTGTAGGTGTCCAAAGGACCCTCATTCTTCTGGACATGGTCATAACTTTTATGGTACCTAGTACAGTATTCAGTGAGTGCTTAATGAAGAGTACTGACTGACTCCTATAGGAATATGGATATGAACAATCTGGAGAAGTAAAACAAAAGTGAAATATTTATGTTGATACCGAAGTATTGGGTTTTTGAATAGCAGAATCATTCTCAATTGCATTGGTCTTAAACCAATAATGGAACAAATGCCCCATAAGTTTTGTGAGATGTGGATGGAAGCAAATTGATTTGGAGATAGGTCAGCATGACTTGACAGTTGAGGAATGCTTTGAAAGTTTTCCGTGAACAATTCGTAGAGAATAATCAATGTGAACTTTTTTTTTTTTTTGAGACAGAGTCTGGCTCTGTCACCCAGGCAGGAATGCAGTGCTTGACAGCCTTGACCTGCTGTGCCGAAGCAGTTCTCCCATCTCAGCCACTGAGTAGCTGGGACTGCAGATGCATGCCACCACACCCAGCTAATTTTCTGTAGAGACGAGGTTTCCCTATGTTACCCAGGCTGGTCTCGAACTCCTGAGCGCAAGCGATCCTGCTGCCTCAGCCTCCCAAAGTACTAGGATAACAAGCATGAGCCACCGCACCTGGCCTAACACAAACTTAATTTTAAAAAACAACTAATTCACATCAGAAAATACAGAAGATTTGATAAAATATTGACTATAGGATTTTGAGTACTAGTTTTAGAAACCCTTATAAAAAGACATTTCACTTATGTAATATTGGGCAATTTTGGTTATTGAACTTCTTTTATCACCTCTTTCCCATAGCTCTGCAAGTGAGTCTGGTTCTCAAAGCACTTGTGATCCACTTGTGACTCCAACAGCCCTGGCTGCCTGTACCAGAGTCGACTCCTGCTTCACTCCATGGTTTGTCCCATCCCTTTGCGTTTCCTTCCAGTTTGCTCACCTGGAATTCCGCCTTTGTCATCACCTTGACCAACTAGGCACAGGTACTCTTTACTTTAGCATCAGAATAACATCCTTTTAATACCTACCATTTTCTCTTGAGTGTCTTCAAGACAAAAGTCTTCAGTCTTAGATCGTTTATCTTCTGGAAGTATAAAGCAAGCAGTGGCAAAGTTATTCTGAGGTTGACTTGGCACAGGCATACCCTTTACTTCTGAGCCAACTTATGAACCTAGAAGTTATCCATGGTATTGAGCTGACGTGTTTTTGAGCTACCTAATGAAAATTTTCAAGGAAGTTACAAAAATTGCTGGTTTTATCATAATTCCAGTTATGATCTTATAGTAGTCCATTGTCTCACTGCTGATAAAGACATACCCAGGACTGGGAGAAAAAAGAGGTTTAATGGACTTACAGTTCCACATGGCTGGGGAAACCTCACCATCATGGCAGAAGGCAAGGAGAAGCAAGTCACATCTTAACATGGATGGCAGCAGGCAAAGAGAGCTTGTGCAGGGAAATTCCTGTTTTTGTATAACCATCAGATCTCCTGAGATGTAGTCACTATCACGAGAACAGCACAGGAAAAACCTTCCCCAAAGATTCAGTTATCTCCCGCTGGGTCCTTCCCACAACACATGGGAATTCAAAATGCGATTTGGGTGGGGACCCAACGAAACCATATCAGATCTCTTTATTCAGTATCCTGAGTCATTACATTAGTAGCAAACAGATTCCGAAAGTATTTGGTATTGCCTGATTTCAAAAGCATGAATACCTTCCACAAAAGATAGGCATAGTCTCAAATTAATTTAAAGGGGTCTCATTTTTTCAAGTTTAGAAGGAAGTTTAAAATTTCCCACACACCAAAAGTGGCCTTTTATAAGTTTACTAATGTTACTTGGGTAATTATTTCTTAAGCTTTATGTTCTGTACCAAACCTTTTCTAGGTGATACATTTTGATTCATTTATTAGGTTTTTAACCTACAGGTAATGAAGGGAGGAAGAGAAAATCAGATTAAAACCAAACATAACTGCTATTAAGCATCTTGCCTTTTCAGCAAAAATGAAGTTGAACCTGCTTTCTCTACCTCTCTTTGAGTCATGTTTTTTTGTTTTTGAGATTTGATTGGGAGATACAGAGCAGTTCTATAAAATTCTCTTTAGATAGATATCTGCTTTTCAAATATTTATTGACTTCTGTGATCAACTTTTTGTGAAACTAACTTTTGGACAACATATTTAAGAGGCCTAATTGAACAAAACAGTTTGTTTGCAAATATAAAATGGCAATCCAAAGATTATATCTTCAATAAATAATTTGAATTTATTGAACACCGAATCTAATTTCAATAATCAAAAAGTAAGTTGTTTGAATGTCAGTTTACTCTTTATTTTCACAAAGTGTTGGCTCATCTTAATTGCTGTTTTCCTTGGTTGTTTTCTCGACAGCTGCACCACAGTACCTACAGCCATTTGTTTCTGATAGAAGTATGCCATCTGAACTAGAATACATGATTGTTTCCTTCAGAGAACCACACATGTATCTTCGACAGTGGAATAATGATTCTGTCTGTCAGGAGTTCCGGTTCGCAGCTCAAGCAGACTGTAAACTTCTCGAGTGCAGAAATGTCACTATGCAAAGTGTGGTGAAACCCTTCAGCATCTTCGGTCAGATGGCAGTTTCCAGTGATGTAGTGGAAAAGCTGCTTGACTGCACCATGATAGTTGACTCTGTATTTGTAAACTTTGGACAGCATGTAGTCCATTCTCTAAACACTGCAATACAAGCTTGGCAACAGGTATGCACATTCCAGAACAGTTTACAGTTTGTTCACATATGATCTTTTATTAGGTTATATATCCTATCACATCTGATAATGTTAAACACAAACAAAAATGTGAGAGAATGAAGAATTTGATGGGCACCGTTATACTTGAGGCTTTCTCTGTTTTGGCAAAGTGATGCATGTTATTTTTGAAAAACTTTGGAGAATATGGGTTCTCTACACATGCATTGGAGATCATGCCCACATTTTTGTGACTAATGTACCACATCTGTGTGGAAAGTAACATATTCCCAGAAATTTTTTCCAAGTATTGTGGCTTTAGTTTGCCAGAACTTTGACTTAGCTATGTATCAAATTGTCTAAGTGTCCATTGCAGAAATAAAGAACCTGTGTGAGCCTTTCTGATGATAAGCATTCCATCTTTTCAAACAAAATAAAAAAAGCAACAAGATGAAATAGTGAGTACAATACAGTCTTAGTTTTTTTCTCTACTATCATTCTGACTTTTTTTGATTCACTAAAAAGTATTGAATGATGGATTTTTTAAAATCAGTTAGACAGCCTTGATTATTTTAAATAATTTTTAAACTTTTATTTCTTATCAGAAACTAACCATTGGGATGAAGTATAAGCCTATGATAAGTGGCATATTTAAAATGGGAAACCTGTGTGTGTCTGCTAGCACAAAAGTAACTTCACAGAATATTTGGATTATAATATGTTGAGTAATTTTAGAACAAATCACTTCTGCTTTCCTTACTGATTTTAGTGTTATATCGTATTGCCATCAAGTTTGTATTGCTATTTAAGCTGAGACATTTCACCCATGTTTTGTATATGTTACACACATTTGTGCAAAGCTGGCTCCCCAAGAGAAATGGTCCTTCATCCCCCACTGACTTCCTTCTGGGATGGAGCAGTGAAGGGGTAGAGGAGCTTTAGTTCTCGAAGCATTTGTATGGGAATAAATGTTTTTCTTTATATGCATGAAGACCTATACAAGACCAAGGAATTAATTGCCTAACGTGGCACTACAATAGCAAAGGGAAAGAAGATAACACATCTGTTTTATATTTTTAAAATCTTTTTTAAGGGCATTCCATGGTTTTCTTGTTGCAAAGGACATGCGTAAAATAAGAGCTCGTGTGATCTAAATCTTTGCAGCTGGTTCAAATAGCCATGTGAAAAAAATCTCTGTGGCTCCAATTTCTGTTTTTTGGTCATATTTTGAACAATGCATTTAATAAAAAACAAACCTAGAAAATGTAAAAGAATCATTGATAGAGCATTTAAACCCAGGATATTTTTGTCTTGGTATCAGAGCCATTATAAGGGGACTCATATGTAGCAACTACTGCAAAATGGTCTTCAGAAAAACCAGTTTCTTCCCAGGGTAAAAATACTCTCTTAGACACAGCTATACATATAAATAAAATATAGTGCATAAATATTTAAATGTTTTAAACCACATCAGAGTGTGAATGACTGACTGGCTAACATAGTGCCTTGAAGGAATATTCTGAGTTTTTTTTTAATGGAATTGTATACTTGATTAAGTAGAGCCATATGTCACATAGCATATTGCTGACAGGTACATTCTATGAATAGTTGGTTCTGATTTATACAGGGATTTGGCAATGTTAACATGAGCCACAAGAGGATATACTTCTGTAATTGTTGCTGTAATTTTCTTGTTTCCTCTCATGTCAAGGGTACTTGCCACCAAGTTTTAATGTGGTAGGCACCTAACCCTGTGTATTCTAAAGTAAATATGCAAGTGCACTACTTTGAAATTATAGGACATTTGACATTGAAATGGGCTTACAGAGGGTTATTAAGTTCATTGTTTCTAAGATGTTATGAATGTGGTTTATTCCCTTTAGAAGGGGAAGTTTAGTTTCCCAAACTTGGATTTTATTGTGTGTATACTGCTCACATGCAGTGTAATTGCTGCCAGTGAAAAATATGAATTTAATAAGCAAGCAAAGTGATGTGAGTTCTCCACATACTTTTTATTGGATTCATATTGGAGACAAGTCATTTTTACCCAGTGTGGATGGACCAGACAGTTGAAGCATGAAACAATTTGGCCTTCCACCTTTAGGTCATGAGTTCAAGATTAACAGAAGCCTTCATCAGTGTCTGATTTCTCTGGCTACAGATTTTCTTTTCTCTTTTATAAATGATGATTGTTTTGTGAAAACAGATTAAGGATCCAAAATACCATTTGCAGTTTGTTTTACATTTCTATATCACTTTCCCAGATTTGGACAAAATAGTATTAAAAGGGTTTTTTTCTTAAATTAAGGTTACACTTGTGTCTTCCCATACACCAAAATGGTATCTTTGTTTAATTGCAAATGCCTGTATGACACTCCATGAAACTTAACTGTGGATAAGCCATCTTTTAATTACGATTCCAAGTGAGCATTCTGAGGCTCGACATCTATGATGTGACATCAAATACATACAAACTTTTAAATATTATAACAGAATTTAAAACATTCCAAGAAGTGCTTAAACTTGTTACAGTATAATGAACTCCACAGATGAAGGAGCAGTAGAGAAACAGTTCCATGAGGACTCTGAATATTCTTTAGAAAAATGTAAACAACCTCCTTGTGTTCTTTAATTTACATATTTTCCTAAAACCCTCATCATGTATTAAAGATCAGTTTTTAGAGATGAAGTAGTATAATTTTTTTTCTACTCAAGCTCCATCTGGTAACTTAACCTCTGTGTTAACAGAAGATTGATCCCAATTAATTATGAAAACTGAATTTTAATCTCAGGATGTGTAACTAAGTGGGAGATTGGAATCATATCCCTTTCTTCATGTCTGTACTCGGACTGAAAGGAGAGAAAATGTTTACAAGGAGAGCAGTTCATGTTGATTATATAATGCTAAATGGAAAAATCTCATCAAAACTAATTATATACTATTATATACTATGATTCCAGTTTGATTAAAGGTTTGCAGATAAATATATAAGAAAGGATTGGATAGGATAGACTAGAATAGTAACAGGCAGGACATTCAGAAGGGAAAAATTGTTTAAAGAAAATTCACCAAAATGTTAATAGTAATTATTGCTGAGTTTAAAATTAAAGATTTTTTAAAATCTATACTTTCTGTATTTCCTAATTTTTCCGTCCCTTTCTCCTCTCCTGTATTTTCTAACTTTGTATAGTGAATATATAATTATAATTTTACTAATTAAATCTACTGGGGTTTTTGTTTATTTCCTAAGTATTTATCGGCCAGGCATTGTGCTAGATACTGGAGATAAAATTGTAAAGAGTACAGACCTGGTTGCTGCCCTTCTGCAGCATAGAGTCTAATGAGGGAGGCAATTTTGAACCCATAATGGTACAAATTAACAAGTGCTCTGAAGGTGAGCTATAGACTTTTATGTAAGCATAAAATAGGAGAATCTAACTTGACCTCAGGAGGATCTCAGAAGGCTGTTCTTAAAACCAACCTTAAAACAGGAATCTGAAAGTTGAGTAGAAACAAATTGGTCAAGCAAGAGATGGAGAAAAATATGTCCACACAGGGGAAAGGCTCTGAGGCAGGAAGTAGTTTGATGTGTTGGATGAGTTGGAAGGAGGTCAGTGTAGTATTAGAGGAACTGGAAAACGCTGGTGGAGCTGGAGTGTCCTGAGCAAATGCCCTCAGCAAATGAAGAGTAGCTCAAGATGCAGTTGGAGGCATGGGCAGGGTCTGGGTAAGACACGACATCTAAAACTCAACAGCAGGCAAGTTTTGAAATCATTGCTACCAACTAAAAGCCCCAGTAGAGAGTATTATGGTAGATGATAGATGATTGTTGTTATGAGTACTTTGTCTCCCTTAGCCAGAAACTTCTTTGGTGATTAGTGTGACTGTCAATTAAGGTTCAGTTCAGTGGGAATATATGGATGATAGCAAGAGGGCTTAGAAGTCCTCAAGGGCCTCCAGAAGAAGTGTCAGGGCCACTTAACCACCTGCAGCATGGAGCCTGCCCACCTACTTCAAGGGCATTCTGGATGACTAGGAGTAGATTCTGTTTCCCAAGATGAGTCTGTACCCTGATAGGCACAAGTTGGTCATGCCCCAGGCCAGATTCCAGATATATTCATCTGTAGTCTGGAACCAGATCAACTCCAGAGTCAGTGTAAGCCAAGTTGAAGTTTTCATGAGAAATAATGTTAGCTGGCTTCATGCCTCCTGTGTACCTGAATCACTGTGCCTCTAAGTTGTATCTCTGTTTACTCCCCCACTTCTTAGTAAAGTGGCAAATGATGGAGTGTGGCATTTTGACGTTATTTAGATACATAGCCTGGAAATAGAGGCCAACTGGAGAAGCATCAGTTTACATGTTATCTCCCATTATCTGCAAATTAATTAGCTACTTAGGATTTTTTTCTTATATTCTCAAGTAATTTATTTAGCATTGTTTTAGTTTACCAAAAGTATATTTATTGTTTTTAAGCCATAGCCTAACCAGAGTGATAAAAGAGTAAGCACGGAAATACTTTTTCACTTTGCCATTGTTTTAATATAATAGCAACCAGTGGAGACACCATTAAATGAGAAAGGAGGTATCAACACATGAATATATTATTAATTTGCTGCACTTTAGCTGACTAATGAAGGATTTTAGCTAATTGATGACTATTAACTGAAACAGATACTGAAAACTGTTTCAACTAACATTATTTCTCATGAAAACTGCAACTTGGCTTACACTGACTCTGGAGTTGATCTGTTTTGTGTGTTCAGCCTCTTAACAATAGAGGGAAAGTTATGGTTTTATTTACATCTCTCCCTGAGCAGATTTACACACACACATATCCACCCTCCCTCTTAAGGGATCTGGGGATGTTTTACCTAAATGATTCTTACTTTCTGTAGGGTACAAACTGTGGCTTTGGTAATTGGTCTTGATTGTTGAGTTTAGAAGGCCGGGAACATGGTAATTCTAGCCTCCAGTACTCTGCTCAAAAACGTGCACTACCCAGTATCGCACTCTTTGGAGCATGTTAATTCACTTTAAGAAATGTTAAAAGTTTGAGGGATCGCATTGTTCTTTTACTCTTCAGTGTGTATGATTTATTTTGAGGGAGTATAAATCAAAACACATTCTTGGAACATTTAAAATCTCTTAAAGGTATTTTTGTGTGTGTGCTTATCCTGGCAGTATAGAATACTTTGTATACCAGAGCTAATGACAACAGATCTTTTAGGGTTTCTGTGTTGTAACAATCGCCACTGGGCAGACAGCTGCCAAACATCTTGCAATTAATCTGATCCACATTGGCTTTCGTATCCTTTTTCTTTCAGAACAAATGCCCTGAGGTAGAAGAGTTGGTCTTCAGCCATTTTGTGATCTGTAATGACACACAGGAGACACTGCGGTTTGGCCAGGTGGATACTGATGAAAATGTTCTGCTGGCGAGTCTCCACAGTCACCAGTACAGCTGGCGCTCTCACAAATCCCCACAGGTATTTGAGAAACACCCTTACAAACAGCCATTGTTAAGGTTGGGGATTCATTTCTTCTGCACTTGTGTGCCTGTCCAGCTATTTCCCAAGCCTCCAAAGGAACCACACAGTGTAGCTACATCTGAGAGAAACCCAAGAGGGTTTAGAGATGGGAGCACACGCTTCTCTTGGAATGGAGCATTTTCCTGTTGAGCTCGGCACTTGGGGGGCAGCAGGGTGTGGTGATGAAGAGGCTGACTCGAGAGCCAGGTTTGGATCCTAGCTCTGTTTAACCTTGCTCTACTTTCTGTTCTTCAGTTTTTTCATATGTAAAATGGGGATAAAAGTAGTACCTATTTCATAGGGTTCTAAGGACTAAGTGAATTCATATGTATAAGACATTAATACGTAAACATTATGTGTTGGGTATTATTATTCTTTGTTTCTTCACATTTTTTTTCTGTGTGTGTCCTTGGTACTAGGCACGTGCTAGGCACTGGGAATTCAAAGACAGGTAAGTCACAGGCCTTGCCCTCCAAAGACAGCTCACCATCTGTGATGCAGTGTGGACAATGACAAACTATGTCCAAGGGAACACTGAGAAAAGACATACCAAAGATGTCTGCTTTCCAAGGAGTGTAGTTTCATTTTCCTGTCCCTTTAGATGGGAATAATTAGGGATATGTGCCCTGCAGCGATAATATGAAGATGAATTAAATTCAAAGATGTAGTCTTAAGTGAGCAAAAGAAATCCTAGGAAGTACTCTCAAGAATAATGTATTTTTTAAGCTCCGGGTAATAAGGAAACTACTGCCTGCTTGTGATTAAAAGAAAGTCATTAGATTAGAGAACAAGTTTTCCCATCTGGTCTCTAGACCAGCTTCAGAATACATTATCCCTCGAGCTCCATCTGAGGGTAGCTAGATTGTGATTTCTTACTTGTTTTTTCATCAGATTGCCGCACTATTGGTATACAATTTGGAAAAGTAGTTATAATGCAGCATTTCTTATTTGAATATATTTACTTCACATTAACTGGCAGGACACTGAAATACATGTCTTTTTTTCATAAAAGTGTTTTCAAAATTTTCTTGTCTGATACGGTATTGCACTCATATTTTTAGGGTAAATCACATGCCGTTGTTTTCTAATTTTCCTCTTGAGAAATGTCTGTGTTAAAAGTGTTTAAGTTGTTTTCCGCTTGTAACATACTTAAAAGGTGTTTTATTTGTCTCAAAATAATCTATTTTTAAATTTTTTTTCCTATGGATTGCAAAAGTAAGAGCATACAGGTACACTGACAAAACTGAACAAAAAACACCTATAATACCAACCACCTAGAGATAACTTGTGGTAATATTTGCTGTATAACCTTTCAGATCTTCTAAGTTTCCATTGTCGTTGCATTCCCAGCAATGAACTACGAGGGACAGGAAAGAAGCCTCTGAGAAGCTGCAGTTACGTGTAATTGTATGCTATAGCTGTAGTCACTTTACTGTTGCACACACAGCAAGCTCCAGGCCTTAGCTGTTAGAAAGCAAAGCAGAGGAAGCATAACTCTCCATAGTCATTTGAAGATGCATAGCTTGCATATCCCTCAGAGACTCTTGGAATTCCCTGGACACTGGAGCCAGGATGGGAAGGGTGATTATAACCACTGGCTAAGGAGGGTGGGGAGCAGCAGTTTTCACATTACAGACATATAGTTTCTGTGTCAGCAGGAACGAATGAATAGACAACCACTGTCACCAGCACACCTTTCATTTTCACACTCCTTTGCACTGTTTCAAGGCCTTTTTGTATTTATTTATACAAGTTTTATTTTCACAGCATTCCTGTGCAGTTTGTATTATTTGTTATGCATATTTTATAGATAAGGAAACAAATAGAAATGTTATGTTAGGTAGTGGTAGAGTTAGGACTGAATTCCTTATCTTTTGATTCTCAGTACAGTGTCACTTCGACATTGTCTCACACCCCTAGGTTTTGGCAACATGATTTGTCTGTTAGAATAGCCAACCTGTGAAGTTTGAAAAGAAGGGCTAAGAAATCACCGAAATAGTAGGCCACATCTAAAGTTAAACTAATAGGGGGATTCTTAGCCCAAGTATGAACCCTTGCAAAGTCTTAACTGTATTACCAAAAATAAAAGGAGCTTTTTAATGACAAACTGTAAACATAAAACAGAAACCTAATAAACTTTGTTTTTTCTTTTAAATTTGTAACTGCATCTTCTGGATGCAACTTTTTAAATAAGTTGCAGTCATTATAATCTTCTTAAGACTAAAACCTAGAGGATATTTATGAAAAAACAGTGTCTCTTTACTATATTTCTGTATGCTAATATAAGTGTGTTTTAGGACCCTCTGAAGCCAGAAGCCTTAATGGGTCCAGAGGGTCTTCATGGAATTCCTTACATTCCCAGTTGCAAATTCTGCTGTGTTCTAACGAGAGGCTACATGAGGATCAGAAAAACTAGCCACTCAACTTCAAACTGCACCTGGAGCTTGTCATAGATGCACAATTGAGCAAAATATTCCTTTTTCCAGACTCCAAGTCATATCCGGCATTGCCCAGCAAGCTTCGTTTTAGGAACATTTGTGTCTACATGTTTATACTACCTTGGGTGTTAGTCAATTCATAGTCTCAGGGAGGATTTCTAAAGTTCATGGAACTGAACTCCACTAAACAATGTAACTAACATTGCAGAGATCAAGAAAGTGGCAGTGACACCTGGAAAGGTTTCAAAGAGGTCAAGATATCTTAAAACCACACAAGAGGTTGCTAACAACAGTAAGTCCCAATAGGATGAAAAGAAACATGGACACAACCAATTCTAGAAATCTAAAGCTGACAAACCTTTTAGAATCGAAAGTCATAAAATGCTCCTTATAGTTTCTAACACATGCTCTGGGGTAGAATCACTTAACATTCTGGATATCTCACAATGATTTCTTGCCTAAACAAACAAAGGAAGAAGAAAACTATTTCCTAGGGAATAATTGAACATATTCAGCTGCACGGAATCATAGATGCCATCACAAAGGGCCCTTAAATATTCCAATTCAGTAGACTTTAGATCAGGTTGGACGAGAACAGTAACCAGAAAGGGAGTGATCTTCAAAGAAGTATGTCACATGATGCTAAGTAGAATCTAGGGACTAGAAGTGTCAGTTTATGGAATGTTTCCCCACAACATAGCCAGTATGTGCAGTTCATAGTCAAGGGAAGCTTTGTTTAATTTAGATAAACCAGCTATAGTGACATCTCCACCAACTAACAGGATTTATGTAGAGGCTGTTTAACTTCCTTTTCTGGTTGATTGAGAGCACTGTTGGTTTAACTGCCTGGAATAGTATTGCCTTTATCTTGTATATGAGGATTTACACTTGCTTTAAGCCTCAAACATGTATAAATTTTTGGATTATGCATTTTTTCAGAATTGTAGGATTCTAGTTACCATTGACTTAATTGTAGTAATCAAACCATCAAGCAAGTGGAAGTAGGCTCTAGACAGAGCTATGAAAAATAATAAAACATTTATCCAGCCGGGCGTGGTGGCTCACACCTGTAATCCCAGCACTTTGGGAGGCCAAGGCGGGTGGATCACGAGGTCAAGAGATCCAGACCATCCTGGTCAACATGGTGAAATCCCATCTCTACTAAAAATACAAAAAATTAGCTGGGCATGGTGGCGCATGCCTGTAATCCCAGCTACTCAGGAGGCTGAGGCAGGAGAATTGCCTGAACCCAGGAGGCGGAGTTTGCGGTGAGCCAAGATCGCGCCATTGCACTCCACCCTGGGTAACAAGAGCGAAACTCTGCCTCAAACAAAAAAAAAAAAAAAAAAAAAAAAAACATTTATCCAAAGTGAATATAACAGAAGTTTCATAAGCTCATGAAAAAATACCAGATATTTAAAACTGCAGGTCAGGCATAATAGTTCATGCTTGTAATCCTAGCATTTTGGAAGGCTGAGGCAGGAGGATTACTTGAGGCCAGAACTTCTCAAGACCAGTCTGAGCAACATAACAAGACCCAATCTCTACCAAAAAAAATTTTTAAAATTAGCAGGGTGTGGTGGCACATACCTGTAGTCCTAGCCACTTGGGAGGCTGAGGCAGGAGTATTATTTGAGCCCAGGAGTTCGAGACCAGCCTGGGCAATATTATGAGACCCCATCTTAAAAAAAATAACAAGGTTAATTTTGATGAGCACCTTGGAAATATTCATTAAACAGTGACACATAGTGACAAAAATATAAATCCTATATTACTTTAAAGCAGAGGAAGCAAACTTTTCTTGTAAAGGGCCAGATAGTAAATATTTTGAGCTTTCAGGATTTTACAGTCAGTTGCAGCTTCTCAACTCTGTGTAAAATCAGCCATAGGTGATACGTAAAAGAATGAGTGTGGCTATGTGCCAATGAAACTGTATTTATGGGCAATAAAATGTAAATTTCATCAATTTTCACACATCACGAATATTATTTTGATTTTGTCTGACCATTTAAAAATGTAAAAACCATTCTCTGTTCACAGGCTATCTAAAAATAGGCTACATGCCAAATTTGGCCTATAAGCCTAAGTTTGCCAACACCTGCTTTAAGATTTCTCAACTGATAAAATTCAGTAGACTAAAGGTTTGATTTAAAATTGTTTTCACTCTGACATAACTGGTATTCTTATCATTTGAAAGCTTGGTACAAGTTCCAGAAATTGAGAAATGACAGATGATAGTTTAAATCCAACTTTTATGTCATTAACCTGTACTCACCAAATAACAGTAAAATATTTTTTATTATACTCATTCTGGTCCTAATCAGTGTATAACAGAAAGTTTCTTTTTGAATGTAACCATATTTTAAAATGAGATCTGGTCATTTTTTCATTTGTCTAAAAGGGAAAGCAGCAGGTTTTGACTATCTGACTATCTTTTAGTACTTCCAGCCAGTTGTCAATTTTATTAACGAGACTGTAATTCTTAGTTACTATGCTTTACAAATTCGTTTATATAATCCA